AAGTGGTCACTATATAAATGTCATCAAGCTCTCGATTTCAAGACTTGATCAATAACAAAAAAAATTGCTTCCCTTAGTAACCTTCACATTCGATTTAGAAGATGTACCAGTCAAAAATGAAACGGTTAAATCAACTAGTGCGTCAGTATAAACACGAGTTCAATTTCTACTACCCACCTCCTCTTACCAAAGTCTCCGTTGCACCTTACAGATAAGTATAACTTTTGACACTAGCCCGCTTCGTCGTCAGTTAAGTAATATTTCACTCCCCTCTCTGTCTCTCCGCCCCGCCGCGGTGGTATAGTGGCTAAGGTACTCGGCTGCTGACCCGCAGGGCGCGGGTTCGAATCCCGGCTGCGGCGGCTGCATTTCCGATGGAGGCGGAAATGTTGTAGGCCCGTGTGCTCAGATTTGGGTGCACGTTAAAGAACCCCAGGTGGTCAAAATTTCCGGAGCCCTCCACTACGGCGTCTCTCATAATCATATAGTGGTTTTGGGACGTTAAACCCCACATAATAGTGGCTTTGGGACGTTAAACCCCACATATCAATCAATCAAATCTCTGTCTCTCCCATATTTTCAGCAACGGACGTCGACAGATTGCGCTGTATACGTGCGGGTTTTAATACGCAAGTGTGAAGCTGTTTTCTCTTCATTCACTTGCACAGTCAAGGTTAACGCGTGCGCACGAATCCGAAAATACGCGGCCGACTTCCTGCTGGCATCCTATGCAGGTAGTCTAACAGTGGGGCCAATGTGCATAGAAGTTCGAACAATAATAAGAAAAAAAACAGATATGGGCAGAAAAAGGCAAGAAGCAGAAAAGTATGCGGTACTTCGTATAAGACGGGCAAAACAGGTCCAGCATTTTTCCTCCGCCATCAGATTAACGTCCTGTCGTGCTTTCTCTGCTTGCTCGACTCCTGGCAACTATTTATGTTGCGCAGAGTTGACCGCGGTGTTGCGCCCGATGGGATTGCGTGTTCGTCGTGAGCCATGCAACCACTTTTTCTCTTTCCTTATCTACAACCGCGTGTTGGTTTTAAAGGGACGCTTTCACGTCCACCGTCACGTTCCACGCCAAGGTCACGATGATATAGGGGTGAAGAAAGCGAGGTCAGACATGCGCGTGCGGAACGTTCCCTTTTCATCTTCTGACACTGAGCGGGATTTTATAAGCCATGGCTGCACCCTCAAACAAACTGAACGTTCATGTACGAATGACCTTGAAATCCAGGTGCAATGTGCATACGGCCTTAAGGGATGAATTTCGCCCACTCCGGGCACATTTGGTAGATAACCACTATGTAGGACGGAAGAAGATAAGGGCAAAAGTGGGATCCTTCTGTCGTGCTCTCTCTTGCAAGACGTCAGTGCCCACGCATCCACCAACAACGTTTTCTTTTTCTTTTTGTTATCCACCTCATTCGTGCTTTTGTTTTGATTGATGCCAATCAGCAGCGGCAATGTTTGTTTTGTTTTTTACTTGGTGGCGGAGGTCAGAGGTTTACGTGAGCGAAGTAAGCCACAGGCACTCGAAGGACACTATCGATAGCGTCGGACCACTTAATGTGAGTCATGCGTGTTGAACATTTGCTTGACCAAATAATGTAAAGGGAAGGGGGGGGGGGGTATGAGCTGTTTAACTCATACCGCCTCCACTCACCCCCCCCCCCCCCCCCAGGATTTATATTTTTGGTTACGCCCCTCGTGGTGAGTACGCCAAAGCTGTTGGAAGCAACTCTAATTATTCAATTTAAAAATTTGTCCAATTTGCCCAGATCATGGTGAATATTGTTTCTTGAGGTCACATACTCTGGCAGGGCCCTGCGTTACAGGACTTGAAAAGAGAAGACTGGACGACGGCAATCGCAGATCCAAAACAAGACGTCTGGCTGTCCAGGAGGCCCGTGAACGTGCAGAGAGGCATGGCTTCTCTGTTGCGACATGGGACTACAACCAACGGCCGAATAGGGACCTACCTGATTGGCCCGCTGCCTCGCCTCTCAGAACTACAATAAAGTTGATTGTCATGCCATGTCATAGAGATCACCGGCGTAAACATAAGCACAGCTTCGGTATTCCTTCTTCCCTTAGCACAGGGTAGTAAACCGGCTGCTACAATTCCGGTTGACCTTCCTGTCTTTGTCCCAATTTACGCTCTCTCTTTCTCTCTGTCTTATTATTCGCGTAAACATCAAAAACTTCACTTTTGATTAAGACCTGCAACGCTTCGCTGTCAAAAAAATTGCCCGCAGCTTCCCTCGGGGGAACACTGAGGAGAATGCGGAGCATATAATTGGTTAACGGGGTGTTAAAGTGCGACTTACTTGGGTCGATGGCTAAATTGGTTAACGTGGTTGTGAAATGGGGTGTTAAATTGCGACTTACTTGGGTCGATGGCTAAATTGGTTAACGTGGTTGTAGGAGGGGGTGTTAAATGAGTGAACACGTACATACGTATGCGAAAGGGCGGCGCTGGTCGAAGGGATGTCGATCATTGTGTTTGTGGATTCGTTGGCATTCATTTCACCGCGACCTTGGACGTCGACGCGCCGTACAAACCAACCGACGAGCGGCAACTGAGCGAGCGAGTGCCGACGTTGAGTATATATACAGCGCGACGGCGCATGCACTGTGAGCTGTTGAATGTTCTCGAAGCGCGACGGCGCATGCGCGTCCACTGGAGAATCAGGAGAATTGTAGAATGTTCTCGAAGGCGAGAAGCGCGCGCGACACAGATGGTGGGTGACGGTGCATGCGCGCGTCAGCTGTCGAATGTTCGAGAAGGGGGAGAAGCGCAACGGCGCATGCGCGCGCGTCAGCTGCCGATGTTCTCGAAGCACGACGGCGCATGCGCGCGCGTCAGCTGCCGATGTTCTCGAAGCGTGACGGCGCATGCGCGCTACATTATACACCTAGCGAATGTTCGTGAAGAGGAGAAGCGCACGCGGTGTGTAGAGGAGGAAGGGTGCACAGATGGTGGAGGAGTGAAGCGCGCGCGGTGTGTAGAGGAGGAAGGGATGCACAGATGGTGGAAGGAGGAGGAGGAAGCTTGCGGACGGCGCCGCACTACAAGCCTCGAGTATTAGATGCTCCGCATCTAAAAAAGCACGCGCTGCTGAAAAGTCTTCAAAAAACAGGACTCCCGAACGCGTCTGCGCAGCTGATGATGTGCACCGATGGACCCATAAAAGTTCCCGACGTAAACCTCACGCCTTTGTACTCGAATATGTATACAAGACACAAAGGTTCTAGACGCTTTCAGTGTAGGCAAATTAGCGCACACTGAAACAGACACGCAAGCCCATTGCAAATTAACACACCAGCCAACCAACCGGTTAGTCAAGCCCACTTCCAGACCCACGATGACGTTTATCAGTCCACAGAAACGCGTGTTCACCTCCAGAAACGGTCGGGCACGTCTAGCTGTGTGCCACGTTTCCTCTCTCTTATCAATATTTTTTTTTTCGTGACGCGACAAGCGCAAAACGAAAGGCTGGCAAAAGGAATTTCTTCTCGTCGTCGATAAACCACGGTTTCAAAGAATAAAAAAAAATTAACTACAAAAGTAATACCGTTGTGTCATAACAACCTCTTGTTACAAAAAATAGAACCCGTTTCAGCGCAGTAAAAAAAAAAAAGAAGCACCTGAGCTTCATAAGAACCGGTCGATTTACCACCTATATCGTGTTGCTTACGTGTAGGGCTAAGCCGGGAAGCGAGCACGATAATCAGTTGAGAGAGACAGAACGGCGGCACTAATCGACGCTTCTGTACTATTTCCGTAATTACCAGTGTCGTAATGCAGATGTATGAGAACATTTTTGTGTAGGCGCACTTGTCAAGGTACTCGAAAGAAATCACGTACGGAACTCGTAACAGAGCCATAAGGAAGCAGTGGTACGAAGTCAATATATGGCTGAAATATATAAAAATGCACTGAAAGATTCTTCTACGTTTATTGTTTTTATTATTTCTTTACAACTCATTCTGGATATATACGGCAGGAAAACAAAGCATCAAAGGTAGCAAGGATGAGCTGGGATACAAAAAGAACGAACGAAGAAAACAAATTAGGAGCGCTTGTCTATTGGGGAAAATGGAGGCAAGCGAAGTTAGGCCTTTGTGATAGTTTATTTATTCTTACGTCACTGCATACGAGCGCTCATTTACTTTTTTTCCTTCTTTCTTTCTTTTTTCTTTTTTGTACGATGGTCCCTCCTAGCCGTTTCCTTCGTGCATGCCGAGAATTGAACCTCGATACACGTGTCTAGCAGCGAAACGCTCTGTTGTTACAGGCAACAACGACGGTCAGCCCTTCATATCCGAGCAATAGCTATATGTGCCAACGTGAAATGACCAGCAAGCTAAATAAAAGATCAGACTGCCACATTGAAAATAACAGATCGCCGACAAACCCACGATCAAGAGATTGCCCGTTATTGTAAAACCCTGCTTACAAATACACGTATAAGCGGCGCACTTACAAAGGCTGCATTTTCTTTACAGCGCGCAAGTGCCAGATAATTCGCTGCATAACATCTATGCGATACACCTCAGCTGTTCGCATGTAGGCTTCATGCTCTCCCATAGTAGAGTACCGAGTACTCTAAATCGTTAACCACTTGTTCTAAACACGTAGGCTCTTCTTATCATCTACTGTTTCTATCTCCGCGGGACGGCTTTAAGCTCTCCCATAGTAGAATACCCTGTACTCTAAATCGTTACCCACTTTTTAACCCACCCCCACCCCGCCGAGTATGAAACACACGGGAATGCATTATGCTCTCCCATAGTAGAATACCGAATACTCCAAATCATTAACCATTTTTCCTAACACACAATATAGCCACATTAGAGCGGTCATTTCGTTGTCCTAAGCTAAATTACTGCTGACGGAGGCCTTTCTGTTATACCGTATACACGTGACAGAAAATATTTTTTATGTGAAAGTGCGTGAAAACTCAAAATGGGAGTATTCACGAATGTATACTCACGATCATGGGCATGTTGAGGGTGGTAATGACGTCATCGAGCGACCCCTTGGTCATGTCCGGCTGGAAGTAGTATCGCTTCACCTGTCGGTACGATACGGTGCCGTTCGAGTTCCACGTGATGTTCACCTTCTCTCGAGTTTCGCTGCGCAAGAGAATTTCAGCCAGTGTTTCAGCCAGGCGAGCACCGTGAGTTCCAACGAGTAGGCTTCGCTGCGGTTAACTGTTTGCGACAACGGCGCTGTAGTTTCGCGCTAACGAAAAGTTATTTCGCGTAAGCCGCAAACTCTTTAAGAAAAAAGGGTTGGGGTACTTAAGACTAACAGTTACTACGATTTCTTTAATGGGTTCGTTTAATTAAGAAGTGCATGCCAAAAAGTGTGTAAGGATGCGCAAAAGGTGGTAACTACTGCCACCTTTACATGCCCTTGCTAAAGTTGGCAGTAAAAAAGCAGCAGGAAGTTAGCAACAGCTGCTGTTACTAACTGTTTGCTTGTTGTTACAAGCTTTTTCCTAACTTTTTCTTTAAAGAGTGTACTTATTTACTAAGCTAAACGAAGTGAAATTCCCGTGCCTACAGCGCGAGAACTTTCGCAAGAACCTACCACCAACGCCAGCCTCGTTAGACATAATGTAAGCGATATGCTTTAATTAAATTGGTTAGACTGCCGGTTCCTCCTAAGGCATGCGTAACTGTATTTACGGCAAGAAATGTGCCAACTAGAAACTTCATTTCCTGTTCTAAAGGACCCGTTCTAAAAAAGAAAAAAAAAAACGGTGTCCCGTAACATGGAGCGACCCGTTAAGCTTCTTTACTTCTCAAACCAAGGACGTCGAGTGTCAAGAGAGAGAGAGAGAGAGAGAGAGAGAGAAATTGACAGCATATCCACGGAGTGAATGATGGAGAGTGGGGCGAAACATTCGTCCGTCCATTCATTCTTGCTTCCGTCCGTCTATGCGTTCGTCTGTGTGACCGTCCATGCGTCCATCCGCCCGTCCGCCTGTGCGTCTGTTCGCGCGTCCGTGCGTGCGTTAGTCCATGCATCCGCGCCTGCATCCGTTCATGCGTCCATCCATGCATCTGTCTGTGTTTCCGTTCGTCCATCTATTCAACACTCCAAGTACCCCCATCTCGCATCTTTTCATCATATATTCCGCATATAGAAGCACCGCCATTCAGCGGACATTCCCATATATGGACTAAACGAGAGGTGGCACACGCACACTTTTTTACGGCTTGCGCTTCGTGTCTACTTCACACATTTAACCACCTCGAATTCATTCATGGTACATACGAGTTCATTGTATTCATGGCACTGCGGCCCAACGCTCGCTAAACCTTTCTAAAACCAAGGAGGTTACGCCCAGCAAGTATAACGCAGCAACCTTTTCCTGTCAGATAGTGCTCAATGTACATGCCAATGGCTGCTAATGGGAAATGAGAGACAGGAGAATTCGGCTTTTACTTTCTTACGGCTTGCGCTTCGTATCTACTTCCCACTTTTAACCACCTCGAGTTCATTCATGGTATATACTAGTTCATTGTATTCATGGCACTGCGGCTCAACGCTCGCTAAACCTTTTTTAAAACTAAGGAGGTTGCACCCAGCGAGTATAACGTAGCAACCCTTTCTTGCCAGATAGTGCTCAATGTACATGCCAATGGCTGCTAATGGGGATCGCAGCGTGCGCGTTAACTACAGGCCGAATGATCCTGTCTCTCATTCCCCATTAGCAGCCATTGACATGCACATTGAGCACTATTTTTTATTGTTCAACAACGCACAGAAGAAATCTCTCACCGGCACCACCTTGGAGGTCAAAATGTTATACTTGTAACATACTATACGGGGGACGAACGGGTGCCGTTATAAGGAGCTTCGCCCCTAAAAAACGCTACATACATATCTTTTTGCTTGCTGTAGTGTGCTTTTTACATCTGCGGGCATATCGTCCACGAATCTGAAGGCGGCATCAAGCAAGTACAGTGCAACTCTTGTCGTTGACGTCCTTAATTCAAGGCTCTTCGTCCTTGCCACTGCAACGCGTTTGTCCCTTCATGCTGTGTTACAAAATCCTGACACCTTCTAATGCTACACATGCTGTACTATTCCTCTCATCCCGTGACCTCTACAAAAAAAAAAAAACTTCTCCGAGTGCTGCTGTCCTTGACGACCATACCATGTCATGCCGCCCATCAGGCTACATAGACAGCTCATCAACTCGTTCATGGCGTGACAACTAAACTGCTGCTAATGGTATGCGTCCGTTGAAGCCTCACGATATTATTGCTCAATTTGCGCGACTTCTGAGAAAAAAAGGAAAAAAAAGAACCATCGCAGCTGTATCAGTCACGCGACCACAAACGTCACCGGTCATGTTGCACAGCTTCCACGTGCTCCACTGAAAATAACCTGCTCTCTCTCCCTCTCTTCCCAACGGGCATGATCGAAATCATTGGGCAATTAATCTACAGGTATATTTGTTCAGCTGAAAACATGTGTAAGGCTTACACAGCATAGGCAAAAAGCGGAGCGAGATTAAGTGATATAATTGGGGCCCCGTTTTTCCTTCGTGATCTCACGCGCGGTTTTACGCAGGTACCGATAGTTGGCACAACCACACACCGAGCGCATTATACTACCGTGCAAGAAATGCCTCACTGACATATTGACAAACAGCTCAATAAACCACTACTAGCTACACCTGGTCTCTTGTCTAGGTTTATATCGGTTTCCCGATGAGAAGCTCGTTACCCCAAATTACTGGAGCATGGGAAATCGAATTACTAACCTCGAAGCATTACAGAGCATTGAAACATTATAGATGCGTATAGACACAGACATGATCCCTGCCAGGGGAGCACGTGTTAAAATACAAATCGATCACGAAATATGTGAAGAAGATTGCCGGCTTCATGTTGGTAAACTTTGCTGGGCAAGTTTGTTTTTTAGGGGCGAAGCTCCTTACGCTTTGGCTCAGTCCCTCCATCGTTGTTCATCGTAGCCACTCCCAGCTGCTTCTGACAATGTTCACTAGATGGCGTGAAGGCACGCACTGCGTGTGGGGGTTGGTGTGATAGGAGAACAATCGTTCGAGACAGACAAACAGAGAGACATACAGACAGACTGACGGACGGGCGGACAGACCAAGCTTGGCTCCACTCATCATCATTCACTTCGTGGATATGCTGTGATTTTTTTGTTTCCTTTCTGCTCTCTTGGCAGGAGAGAAAGAAAGAAAAAACGTGACACTGGGATGACCAGCACTTGGCCTTTAGCGGGCTGCAGAGATACTCACAGAAACGTGTAGGGGCCCACCTCCTGGAGACGCGGCTTTTCCGTGCCAGCCATGATCTCGTCTGGATTGGTCATGTTGAAGAAGTAGTACTTGAGGTAGATGGGTATGGGCGCGCGCTGCCAGGAACTGTAGATTTCGCTGTTAGGTTCCAACACGAGGTTCTGCGTTGAGTAAAGGAAGAAAATTATTCTGGTCCTATGTATCGGTTATTTACGAATGTAAAACAAGTTCACATGCGTACACCACGTCTTTTTCGCTTATCAGTTCGGACATCCTAGTTAAAGAAAAAGAGGTGGACATCCTCCTATCCTGCCTTCGCAAAAAGCACTGACACTAGCCCCGTCGCGGTGATCTCGTGGCTAAGGTACTCGGCTACTGACCCGCAGGACGCGGGTTCGAATCCCGGCTGCGGCAGCTGCATTTTCGATGGAGGCGGAAGTGTTGTATGCCCGTGCGCTCAGATTTTGGCGCACGTTAAAGAACCCCAGGTGGTTGAGATTTCCGAACCCTCCACTACGGCGTCTCTCATAATCATATGGTGGGTTTGTGACGTTAAACCCCACACATCAATCAATAAATCAATCAGCACTGACACTAGAATTATTTTAGGCCAAAATTTCAGCACATTTTGACGCTGAAGCAACGAGAGTGCCCGACCGCCGAATGGTAGAAACACTTATCGACGATCAGCCTCACAAAAGTTTGCAAAAACAAAAAAAAAAACGAAACCCCGCTCTCCCTTTAGATGGTTACAGAACAGTAACTAATACGTTCAGTGATGCAGATAGTTCTTACAAGCCTTTTGTAATTAATTATTTTTGAGAACAGTCCTCTCCGCATGCGAGTTATTCCGAAATCAAATTTTTGACACGACTATAGTTTCACGGTAAGCCAGGCCGAATTCACAAAAATTCTCTTTCAAAAGCCTTCTTCGCCATCCGCCACCTCCTTCATTAATTATATACCTAATATCAAAACTGGTTGAAAATTACTTTCTCGAACAATTATTGCGGGAAAATTAGCCACAAGCCGAGAAGGGACAGGTCACGAAGAAAGTCCAAGCCCGCGCTACCCCGAAGCTGCCTAACTATTCAAGAGGAAACTTTCCATCTAGTACCTTGATCCTTAGAGTAATTCAAAGCCTGTCGAATATAAAAAAAAAGTGCTTGACTCTATCAAAACATCATTACTATTTGATAGATATACGCACATTGCCCAACGACAAGGTTTGTTACAACCTATAACCAACAGTTTCAAACAGTAATGAACTTCCGATCTATTAACTTCTTCTTTGCATTGCAGTATATATGACGACTGACGAAGATTTTTAAAAATATCCGGCTTTATCGTACCATCATTAATTACTGTGTGTTAGATAAACGGACCTTGTGCAATGACAAGGTTTCTAGCAACGAATAACCGCCAAAAAACAGCGAAACTTTAAGCATTAATGGCGGCGCTGAATTATAACGAGCAGAAGTGATGTTTGCAGTCCGCCAACTATCTCGAAAGAAGTGGTCAATGTCGACACGAAATCGGTCTTACGCTGAGATAATGCCAGCTTGCATTTCGTCGTATAAGCGATGCGCCTTTATTTATTTATTTATTTATTTATTTATTTATTTATTTATTTATTTATTTATTTATTTATAAATACTGCTGTCTCGATACACGAGACATAGCAGGAGTGGGTACATTAGGAAAAGGAACGAACATAGATTAAGCAATACCAAAAAAAAAACATACAACGCATTTATAACATACTACAAAATATGTTTAGGCAGTTCTTTCAAAAACAGTTCAATTGGTTTTTCGCGTAGGGAACCATCTAGGTTGTTCCAAATCACAACAACGGCTGGAAAAAAGGAATGCTTAAAGCAATTTACAAATCAGTCTCGTGTCGAGTTACCGTCAAATGACTCGCACTCTTCTAATGAAGAGCGCAAGTCATTTGAACCATGCGCCACAGTCCTGTGAGTCAGCATTAACCACTAGGGGAAGTACGTAGAATCGTGGTAGTCGCACACATCACATCATTCCGTGTGCACACACGCACACGGAAGCGGGACGCACAAATTAAGAGACCGGCAAAGAACAAAACAGTTGGTAACGATTGTACTTCCGCAAAGAGTTTATCGCCGCGGAGCACAGCCGACGGCTGACTACCGACGCCTTTGTCTTACACGAAGCGAGAACAAGCGCTTGGAGCGCTCCTTGCGAGCAATCACGTACCGCCCGTGCAGCGCGACTGAATGGTTCTCTTTCTTTTTACCTGGAACAAGAAGACAGCTGAAAACCGCTGCGCGCCACGGGGAGTGTAATTTGCGCGAAGACCGCCTCTGCTTGCGCAAGCCAGTGTACATAATGCGCATGCGCCGAAACTAATACTCCCGCCTACCCGACACATCAGCTGTACCCATTCTCACCGGTGCTTCAGACATGGCGTTCATTGGACGGTTGCACGCGGTTATCCACTGTTTCTTCTTTACAACGAAGCAGAATGCATGTGGTTATACGGCATGTCAGTTCGTCTCAGCGCGGTAAGGCTTTAACTCAAGAAAAACTAGCGACAATGTGCTACATATGAATTCTTGAAATTTTACGTCCACCCCCACCCCATCCCTCCTAAAAAAACACCATGTGATTATGAGAGACGCCGAAGTGGAGACTTTCGGAAATTTCGACTGTCTGGTCTTCTTAAATGTGCACCTATATCTAAGTACACAAGCCTCTATAGCTTTTCGCCACAATTGAAATGCAAATGTAGCTGCCGGGACTCAATCCCGCGACCTTCTGGCCAGCAGTCGAGCGTTGTAGTCACGAGACCATCGTATAGCACGCGATATGCTGTATAGAGTCCATGGATTTACGTACGCCTCTTAATAAGGTGACGCATAGCGCAGGATGACAACGCAAGGCATTTGTGACATAAGCAATAGGAACTGTTGCGTATACACGTTTCTCTGACGACCCGCTTTTCCGACGACGCTGGTATTTGTGGCGAGTGTATGCCAACTCGACTGCGTCACGTGTGCTGTTTCGCACAGCGCGATGCCCCGACGCAGTGGTTTAGTGGCTAAGGTACTCGGCTGCTGACCCGCAGGTCCCAGGATCAAATCCCGGCTGCAGCAGCTGCATTTTCGTTGGAGCTGACTGAAAACGCTGTAGGCCCACGTGTTCAGATTTGGGTGCACGTTAAGGAACCCCAGGCGTTCGAAATTTCCGGAGTCCTCCACTACGGCGTCTGTCATAATCACATGGTGGTTTTGGAACGTTAAACCTCACATATCAATCAATCGTACAACACGCGTGCTCTAGGCTAGAGTAACCTAGAATTCTATGTCACTCTATTCAAGACAGGCTTCGTTGAAACAACATTTGGAGAACACAACCTCGCCAAGCCGATAATCCTTACGTTATTGAATTTTAAGCGATTCTATTAACGAGTGAAAAGGGTTTAGCGGTCCTCCAGCAATATGTGGCAATAGCATATATTTTTCTGAAAAAAGGGGGGAGGGGGAGGGGAAGCTTCGAATGTAAATCGGCATTGGCGCGCACAGGGCGCGCTAAGCTGCGAAGGTCCTCGTCACGGTTGCCGTTCTTATAACTTGCTTTTCTTTTTTTTTCTTTATCTTTGGGGTGGGGGGTGGGGGTGGATATGTCGCAGCGAGTTAACGAAAGACGCGTCAGACCTTAGTGACAATCTAACGTGTCAATGGGCGAAGATGACTCGATCTTAAGAGAATGGATTGAAGATAAACTGGCAAACGTTTGATTTTACAAGTAAAATTCCGCTTAAGTAAATAAATCAGAAATAAAAAGAAATACAAGAGCTGTTACACCTAAGCGGGTGAGGGGGACTTGACAGACACGCGGCGGATATTTCCCTGAATATTCACCATGACCCAGAAACGCTTTCAGTGATCACAGCTGGGTTTGCCGTATTTGTATCTCGGAAAAACGCCAGCCGGTCACTTACTACGAACCTTATCACATTTTCAAGGAAAGATTGTTCTCGACTGCTGGACAAACAACGCGCTCTTGAAAGCGTAGTGATTGTCATGCAGATTTGCTATGCAGGTGCTCTCTCTTTCCTGTAAGAGTAACAGTTTAGACAGGAGACTCAAAAGTCTCCAATTTTTTATCGGTTATGATTTGCACCCCCCCCCCCCCCCCAAAGGCAATCTCTATATATAGACCTAGTTCATGTTTGTAAACAGTGGTAAGAGCCGTCGACGCAGTGAGGCGCTTGTAGCGAGGTCGCGGCATGCAGTCTCCCATCCAGCCCAACTCTCGCCACCGCCCTCTACGGTCATTGGTGTGCGGGAGGCTCCCCGACGCGCTGTGCTCGGAGGCAGCTTTGCAGCTGCTGTGCCAGTTGTCACGTGATCATAAAGGGCGGTGGCGAGCTTTGGGCTGGGCGGAGCCTACGCAATGCGACGTCGCTACAAGCGCTTCAGTATGTCGACGACCGCTGTGTAAAAACATGGAATAGGTCTGTACCCGAAGTGCCGGAAATACCTATCGAATGCGATCGCCATACCATTGTTTTTTTCATGCTTTCAGCAAAAGTGATAAAAACTTTCAAAGCGGTCCGCATGACTAGTAGAAGTCCTCGCATTTCGAGCAATATTTGGAGAGCGTCTCCGAAGGCTGAAAGTTCAAGCAAAAGTTATCCCGAGAGTCTCTTTTGCCGTCACGTTGTCTCGCTAAAGTCGCGGCGATGACTGGCTGGTAAAAATCGTAAAACACGAGCATGAAATGCTCGTGTCCATTTTGTGACGCCGTAACCGTCGATGTGAAAGCGATGCACTCGCTGGGTACTCGCCTATCAGTCTGAAACTAAGCCGTCTTCGCCATCTCTGTGCAACAGGCCTTATATAGGTCTGGTCAATCAGTCGGCATTAATCAAAAGGAAATGAATGAATGAATGAATGAATGAATGAATGAATGAATGAATGAATGAATGAATGAATGAGACGAGGTCGTGCGCCAGTCCACGTCCTTGATTGAGGAGCTTTAGATGGCGCATATTCAGTCACATGAATGGCTTCATGAAGTTGGAAGAACTGTCTCATAGAACTTTTCACAGTCTACCACCGTATATTTCCTACAGATGCGTAGGAGACAAATCAGCTGAACGCTAAAAACTGGCTTTTTT